TCTCTCTCTCTCTCTCTCTCTCTCTCTCTCTCTCTCTCTCTCTCTCTCTCTCTCTCTCTCTTGCGTTGCCCCCCACTCCCGCTGCTGCTCGAGCTCCCGCTGCTGCCCGCTCGCGCGCCTACTACCGCCGCCACTCTCTCTCTCTCTCTCTCTCTCTCGTGACGGCCGTGTATATTCCCAAAAAAAGAAAGAACGGGCATTTGCCCCCCTGCGTGAGTGTGTGTGTGTGTGTGTGCTCCCGAGGGGGATGCAACCCCCCCACAGCAAATCAATCAAAAAAACAAAAAAAAGAACGGGCATTTGTCCCCCGTGTGTGCATGTGTGTGTGTGTGTGTGTGTGTGTGTGTGTGTGTGTGTGTGTGTGTGTGTGTGTGTGTATTCACGGGGGCAGGCAGGCCCCCCACAACAAATCAATCAATCAATCAATCAATGTCCAAAAAAAAAGAAAATTGAAAAACGGGCATTTGGCCCCCGAGTGTATGATGTATCCATAGATGGTCGTATGGTGGTTCGCGTTGTGTGTCAGGTCTTGTGCTTCGCACGTTTTGGTTGTGCACAGCTGTCATTTGCCTGTAGGGCCATAACTCTGTGCATATGTTGACGAGTGCTCATGTTTGTTGGCTGTATCGTGTTTGTCCCGTTCTTTTCTTACTTGGCTATGGCGTCGTGTGTGGGGCTGGAGGTCTGTTGTCTTGAGGGCTGTGTGTATGTCATGGGTGTTGGCTCTGTATGTGGTTGTTATTTTTTTATATATATTATTTTTGTACTTGCAGCATGGGTACGAACTAGGCGAGGGTCAAGCTGGGGGGGCAAAAAGGGAATGGCTACACTGTTATTGAACAGCAAGAGGTAGGATGCTCTGCTTCTCATGTGAGCAGTGATAGTGGGCAATTGGTGTATGACCTTTTTTTATATCTGTGTATTCGTGTGTGGGGATTGGTTAGCGGGGCATTGTGTGTGTGTGTGTGTGTGTGTGTGTAACTGTGTTTATTCTTGTTGGTTTCCCCCTGACACCCGCACCCTCCCCAGCCCCTGACAACCCCCTCTCCCCCGACGGCCACGTACGGTCTGGTACGGAGGGGTAAAAGTCCATACGGATGGGCCTGGCCTCAAGGGGCCATGCGGATGGTCGTACGGAAATGCGTATGGGGGACGACTACTCTAGTCTTCATCTCTCCCTCCCCCTCTCGTTTCTTCTCCTGCTCTCTCGTACTTCTCTTGCTTCATAGATATGACTTGATTGTCGCTGGATGGATTATCAGGGCCTCGCTCCACTACCGTCCACTATCCAACATTTTGGGCCTCGCTCCACTCCTGTGGGCTGTACAATATTTTGGGAAGTGTGTGGACCGTAGTCAGAGGTAGCAAAAATTGTCTCCGAGCCGCATGGCTCCACTTCCTGTACACTGTACACTCTCCAGTTCGTGACTTCACTAGCAAACACGGCATCAATAGAGTTTTGTCCCCCCAGACATCAGAATCACTGTCCATAAATGAGTTGGGTCCAGGGGTTGGAGCAAAGACCTTCCGCACAACGGCGTTTGCAGGCTGGAAATTGTACATGGCTGGACAGCTGATTGACCCACGTGATTTCTCAGCACTGTCCGGCTGATTTTCATCTTGTACAGTGGACACTAAGTGGAGCAACGTCCCACTTACTGAAATCGGACTGTGGACAGTAGTGTAGCAAGGCCTTTGTATAGTTCGTGGACAGCTGTCAGAGTACTAAGGCAAAACCGTGGAAACGCGGCAATGCTCCACTTACTGTCCACTATACAGCACTTCAATTCCCGAGTTCACTACCAGACACCGTCACAGCACTTTCTACCAGTGTCATCACCTAGCACGGGGACGGCCCGCCCGTACTCCTGTGCGACCGTACGTACAGGCCCTCAGCGCCCGTATGGACCGTGAGTACGGACTTTGGGCCCTCCGTACGTGGCCTTCGGGAGATCGTTTAAGGCATCATGCTGCACCACACGCAAAACCGAAAATGTGGCAGCTGAGAAGTGCGCATGAACAATTTTTTTTTTTCTAAACAATAGTCGAGAATATATATATATTTTTTTTGTACAGCAGGGTAGGCGGGGAGTTTCTCGTTGCACTTGGATCCATATCTTGCTTCACCACCCACCAAACCCGCACCGGGCTGCTAAGAAGTGCGCATGAATGTTTTGATTTTCATATATACTAAGGAATATATGTATTTTTTTATTATTCAAGTTGCGGGGGGGGGGGGCTCCGCACACCCCCCCCCACTTCGGGCTTGGTTCCACATCATGCTGCACCACACGCAAAACCCAAAATGTGGCAGCTATGAAGTGCGCATGAACAATTTTTTTTTCTCTAAACAATAGTCGAGAATATATATATTTTTTTGTACAGCAGGGTAGGCGGGGGGCTTCCTGTTGCACTTGGATCCATATCTTGCTTCACCACCGACCAAACCCGCACCAGGCCGCTAAGAAGTGCGCATGAATGT